AATATGGGGCCTTATGGAGATTGACTCACTGCTGGAGCCAGCCTCAAGTAGCCATTAGAGGAACTGCAGTTTTTGTTACGTGTTGGCTTCATTTGTCAGCTACAGAGGTTGTTGCTTGACCTGACCTTTCCCTCGCAGTTCTTAGACCGGATTAAAAATCCACTTTGGCTCCTAAAGCACTGTCCAGATCTCATCCAATTGTGGGCTGCCTTATTTAGCCTGTGTTAGCAGCTTAGACAGCAAGGCAGCCTGTCTCAGTCTGTGCTTTAAATAATGCAAAGCTGTTTTTTTTCCTATTCTAAAGTCATCTTTTGTCTTCGTTCTAGAAAGTGAGCATAGCCTTTGACAGGACCTAAAATTTAGAGTGAACAGGGACACTTAAGTCCAGAAAGAACAGTCTTAACAGTTCAAGGCTTTATAATTGATCAATATCCAATAGGACCCCTGCATAAGTCACTGCCCCACTCGAGCCCCCCAGTCAAAAAAGACTGAAAACGCCCCTGCTTTGCAGTAAATAAAGCTTGACGGACAAATGACAATATCTATATGTGTAGAAATGTTCTGATTAAAAAAACAACAACAACATATATTGGATATGTAATATATATATATATTAATTAACAATTTTTTATGCAATATCCCTTGCAGAACAAGCTGAAAAAGCAGCATCAATATCTGGCTCTTTAGTTGCTGAAAGAGGCTAAAAAGCACCCTAAGCCAAACAGTTGGTAATAATTCTCAGTGTGTTCCTCATTCATAGTCATTTGATACATTGTTAGTATAAAATTATCTGTAAATGCAGCTCTTAAGATACACATCCTGTTTTTGTTATAGCGCCCTATAAAGCATAGTACGCAGGCTTTAATAACCCTATAATATTCTGTCATTGCATAGGAAAACTATGTAATATATGACTTATATGACATATTACTTAAATAATTCAATACTTTTATTAGAGTCTTGGGAACTTTCTCATGCTTTGTGAATGTGTGTGTGTTTGTATGTCTGACCAGCGATGACATGTGGGATGGTAGTGACGTTAAGTTTCTGCTCCGAGCCCTTGACCCCACTTTTCGAGTCCTGCATCTCCACCAAAATGGCCTCCAGCTGAAAGCAGAGGGACGGCAACCAGGATTCATTCATATAAATCAGAGAACACTGAGGACACACTGTAGTAAACACAGTCACATACAACTACCATTCAGGAAAAGAGAGGCACCACATAAACACTGTGCAATTCATATCAGCTTTAAATCAGTTCACAGTCGAGTTTAGCGATTTAAATCAGAGTGAATCTTTAAAAAATAATAACTTGTAGGTTTTAATATTTTTTTGTCATTAAAGAATAGTGGAATGTTAGTTAATCTTGCCTGTTTATCAGACAATATTGGATTGCCTTTGCTTTAATACCTTGCATTGTGTGATAGAATTGCCATAATGTCATGCCTATTTCCATTAAAAATCATGTAAAGAGAAATCACTGAATTTCCTTGGCAGTTGTAGCATGTGATTACATGCAAATGAACGTTATAGCTCACTTTCACTTTCCAAACAATCCTAGAAATTATTCCTCACAGGGTTAAAGTAATGTCATACCTTAATGTGCAAACTGTAAATTAGATGAAATTAACAATATTATAATATTTTTTTGTGCAATACACCTTAGATGATGCAGTTGTAGCTTGGTCGGTAGAGCAGCATGTCCATTATAGCAATTTTTGTGGTTTAATTCCCATTGCTACCTGTCCACACGTCTTTGTGCAAGACACTGAGTCCAAAATTGTGCCCAGTGTGGGGAAAAAGTGTAAGTGATTTTAAAGCTGTCTACCAAATGACTCAAATCTAATGTAATGTATGTTTACCACTATAATTTACTACTTGTTTGCTTCATTTTTGCAGGAATTAATTAAAGGACCAGCGTGTAGGGTTTAGTGGCATCTAGTGGTACAGTTCCACTTTGCAACTAACACAGCTCACGACTGTATTTGACAACCTGGCAATAACAGTCCATACTGTATAGGAGAAACTACGGTGGCTGCACACTCACAAAAAAAAGTCCCTCTCTATAATCAGTGTTTGGTTTGTTCATTCTGGGCCCCTGAAGAAGCATGGCAATTCAACATGCCTTATCACTATTTCTGCAGGTTTCAACAGGTTCAATTCAAGACTTTTTAAGACCTTTTTGAGGCCATTATGAATGCAATGTAAGACCTATTTCACTTCCATTCTGGCAAACAAAAGTATGAAGCATATGAAGGAAAATCGGTTGAGGTTCCATGAACTCTAAAAAGTTCTCTAAAAATATATTTGCCCCAAATTCAGTTTGCATTAATCTTTTTGAGTTATGGCAACTTCTAATGAAATGATCATGTTCAACAAATGTACTATATTGAGTTAGGGGAACTCATCAAAATAATGTTTGCAACTTAAAAGGCTTATCTAAATCAATCAATTAGAAGTGTTATCTTTGTTTCGTTTTGTAGTTGTTATGGCATGACCAATGCAACATTTTTCCCCAAAACACATTTAAAAGAGACTGAAAAATGCAACTTTATATAAGTAACAATAACGTCATTAATCCAATCAATTTATAAGACCTGCCAAATTCATATTCAGGAAATTTTAAAGTCAAAATTAAAATTGTTCTTGTTTCTTTCTGTCATTGACTCTGTCCTGTCCGTCTGTCATTTGCCTTAATATGTCAGTGAGCTTGAAGTTAGCATTTTCCTTTTAGGAGCAGGTTATGCTGCTAAACTGTAGAGTATATTTCAGCTGCAGTGACACCTGCTAATTAACCAAAGCTAATTAGCTTTAAGGTGGAATTAGAGATGATCTCTCACAAGCCCTGCTCTTCTAGTGGCAGACCAATCATATGTAAATCTTGTACAAATACACTCTGAGATCCCTCATGAAAAACCCTTATTTCTGAAAAAACTGAGAAGGAAATAGGGAAATTTAATGTGCTTCATATTTTTTTAATTAGTTAAAGAAAATGTCAGTGTAATCCAGAAAGTCTAATTTAACTTTTGAATCGCTTAATATATCTGTGATAAAACTTGTCTTTAATTAAATTAGGGATATAATACTACAAATAAAATACCAGCCGTTTATATAGAACAACACAACTATTTACTACTAATAATGATGATAATATCCACCCACCTTTTTGAGGCAGTGCATGCCGGGCCGGAAATGTTGTCCCCGGTCTGGACGGACTGTTCTAATTGTCATATTTGCAGATCGATGAAGACCAAATCTGATGTAGAAAAGGGAAAATAAATAACCTGGTGTGATATATTCCAGTTATATCTATAGTTGCTGACAGAGAAGTGTGTGCCTGGAGTGGACTTGACACACTCCTCCTGTGGGGGGATTGTAAGACGAGATGGGAAGGATGGATTTATCCACCAATCAGCTGTAGAACGCCTCTGTTCTCATCCCCCTAAAGCCTGGGAGGGTGGTTCTTAAATCAACTTGCGCAAAGAACCATGACAAATGAGAGCTGGAGCTTTAGGTGGCTGTGTACAGAGCCTGGAGTGTGTCACGATCACCAAAGACTTGAATTGATATGTTTAAATATAATTAACTTGAATTAATTATTATTTTGTATTTATAGGTCCAGTGTGTAGGATTTAGTGGCATCTAGCAGTGTAGTTACAGATTGCAACTCACCTGTTTCACCTTCTTCTTCCTATCTAGAGTCAGTGTTTGGTTTGTCCATTCTGGGATACTGTAAAAACATGGTGGTTCAATATGGTGGATTCCACAGAAGGAAACCTGCAACGTTTGTAGATAAAAAACGTATCATTCTAAGGTAACAAAAACACAACAGTTCTTATTTTTAGGTTATTATACACTAATGAAAACATACCTATGAATATTTTATTACATTTCTGACAATAGATCCTCTTAAATCTTAAACACATTTAATTAGTTAAATCCATTGATATATTAAAATACAATTAACTCATTAATTATTATTTTGCATTGGAAGGATGTTAAAAGTACATGTTCAAATTGATACCACTTTCATGTTTGTACAATAAATATGAA